TGGCGGTATGTTAGAAGATATCATCTGCTGAATTGTAACATGTAGATGACTCTTGATAAAACCATCAGTTAATATTCGGTTGTTACATCACTGAAGCTTTTAATTGCCAAATTAGCGCTGACTACAAATATTATGTAAGAGGTATTTGTTTTTATGGTTTTGCCATTTTATGGTGAGACAATAATGGATGGCTAATATCAGGAATTTCTCCTAGTTGAGTATTTGAACAGGATTTTTTAATAGAATGCCATTTGTTTAGTTTTTATATTTGTGACATCGCAACTTTTCCACTTGCAGGATTAGATAGTGTCTTTGGCAAAGCCTGCATTACTATGTCTGGGATCAGTTGGCGCTGGCATAGCTAGAGTAGCAAAAATTGTAAGCATAGCTCCTCTAATAATAGGTTTAGTGGTGGATGTTGATGTTTGAGTACACTTATGTATCTTTTTTCTTTTACTGTGTTCAGAAGACGCGACGACAGCCAAATAAAAGCGATGGCTAAAAAGAGAATAACCAACCAGAAGTAACCTACCTCCCATAACTTTCCGTAGATCATGTGTAATGAACCAAAATTTTCCGAGCACAAAGAGCAAACGCAAACACAGATAATTTACGCCTTTTTTATAGGCTTTATAGGTAAACTTCACCAAACTTCTAACATAAATAACGTCGCACAAAATACGGAAACGTTTTTTGCACACACCAAAAGGGTCCGAAGCTTGGACTTGAAGCTACAGCTAAATATGTTCACTGTAGTAAGCTCACAGTGGTCTATTGGGTCCAAAGATGGCCGAAAACAAAGGGCCTAAGTGATCAATCGAAATCCGGCAGAAACCGATCCACAACTCCGTAGTAAGACGAAAAGAATGTAGAGCTTGCACAGAAGCAAACTAATGCAATCGCCGCTAACATACAACGGGAAATGGAAAAACGAAACGTCAATATTAATTTGAAAACTATTCAACGACGTTTACACAAAGGTGAAGCCAAATATATGGTGAAACTTTCTAAAGCTCTACTTATCAATGTCATAAAGAAAAACAATTGGAATGGGCAAAAAAAATAAAAATTTTGATTGGAGTAAGGTTATATTTTCAGACGAAGCACATTCCGTCTAACAAGTCATTACTTAAGGTCTGACGGTTTCCTGGACGAAGAAGAATATTCCGATCTGTGAAGCATCCATTAAAAATCAATGTGCGGGGTTGTTTTTCTGCTTCGGGCTGTAGAATCTTAATGTCGAATTTATGGTTACGGTATACAAACGCGGTCTTCTCCCATCTGTTGAGTATCTTTTTGAAGATGATTCTGAAGGGTGGATTTTGCAAGAGGATAACTACTCAAAACACTGTTCGAAATTGCTGAGTCGTTGGAAGGAAGAAAACATTGAAGTTCTTCCACTGACGTCAATGTCATCCGATTGAGAATGTTTGGAGGTTGATGAAAATTAATATTACAAAAAAATTAGAACTCTTATTGGATTAAAGGTACAATTAGCAACAGAATGAAATCACTTACCTGATGATCTTACCGCAAATCTTGTCTATAACATGAGAAGTAGGGTTGAGGCGTTAGTTGAAGTTGGGTGATTATGTTATACAATGTATTAATGATCAGGATATATTATAAACATTCTAATAAAAAAAACGGTTTTATAACTGAGTTATGACGGGTAGGTTATTTCTGACGAGCACTATATTAAGTTGGATAATAGATAATTGGTTTATATAGGGAACGAAAAATTTTTTATAATATTCTTGATTTTTAATTATAAAAGTCCCCACGCAAGCTTTATACAAAAATTGACCTCACTGTTAGCTGGAATCGATTTTTGGTGAAAATTATTCCCAAACAAGAAACTAATGCTAGTATCGACTGCCGTAGTGTTTCGGACGAAACTACGTATCTGTATGTCGTTATATCGAGAGTTAACCTTGATTTCGCTTAATTTGGTTTACCAAACTAGGGACCGGATTTTTGAAAATCTATCATTAAAAAAGTCATTAATAACGATAAAGATGGAACCGGCTCTATTATCGTGAGTGTGCCTATGATAATTCCTTAATTTTGAATCCTGACTGCTATGCACGTAATCGATATGTCGTACATACTAAAGTGAAAATAGAAATAAGAAATATGTATGTAACAACTTGTAGGGAAGAGGACGTAGAGGAGGGAGTAGATAGAATTAGGATAGGATGAGGTAAAAGAAAATGGGAAGTGCGAGGAGTGAGCTGATTATGAAATACGTATATCAATGAATTGTAATACATATGGAAATATTTTTTATATACTGAAATACTAACTTTATACTCATATTTAATTACCGTAAATTGTCGTATAAAAGATCTCTCTAATA